TTCTACTCCCCTTTTCTCTCTCTTTTTAACTTAGGATAGTTCTGAACTGGTGAGGTGTGCTCACAATGAGGTTTCCTTTAAAAGTTATTTTTCTACTTTTTTCTGTTAGCAAAGCTGTTGCCGCTACAGATTGAATGTATTTGGGCCATCCCGGGTTACTGGGTTAAGGAATTTTGATAGGAAGGCTATGGGTTGTCAGTGGCCTCAGTGCTATTGGGCTACGCCCTTGTTTACACTGACAACAAAGTGGTATTGGGGTGTTATATGGTCATGGAGAAGACCTTTAATTATCAATTACAGGTTCTAAATTTACCTTGGCTTTTAAAGAAATAGCATACACTGTTTTTTTCTTAACTACTTGTATATCTCTCTTTCTCTTTCTTCTGTCTCTGCCCTCTCTCTCAGCCTCTTTCTCTTTGACTCCCTCTTTGTCTCTTCCTCTCTCTTCTTTTCTCTCTTTGCCTGTTTTCCTCTCTCTCTTTCCCCCTTTGCCTCTTTTCCTCTCTCTTTTCTCTCTCTGCTGGTCTTTCCTTGCCTCTGCCCGCTGCTTCTGCTGCTGTTCTCCTCTCTCCTTCCTCTTCCCCTAAGGGAGGGACCGGCGGGAGTGGAGCTACTCTTTCTTCCTTGGCTGTCTGTCCCTTTGCCGCTAGTACTACTGCTGCCTGTCCTCTTAACCACTGTGGGGGGTCTAAAACTAGCTGCAACCAAGTATCTAGGTATGAAAACTGATCTGGGTGTCCTGATTTACCAGTTACTTTGTGCCATACCTTTGAAACTAGGGACCTGTCTAGGCTTCCTTCTGATGGCCATGCCACCTCTAATGCCGGCCAATCTATCTCACACAAAGCCTTAAGCTTTCCAGGTGTCATAGTGATTCCATAGTTCCCACTGAATCCTTTCTTGAAATTCTTTAACATAGCCCCTAATGGGGTAGACTTACCTTGTGTTTTACTCATTGTTCTCTCTCAGGAGACAAAACAACACTCTTACCACAAAGAGGGAAGGGAAAAGGGGGCAAACAGTCACTCACTCCCCAAGCAATTCACACTAAACCCAAAGTCTGGATAAGGAGTTACTCATTCATCAAGCAATTTGACCAAGTCAGAACCAAAATCAAAGCCAAACAGTTCAAATCCAAAAGTCAATGCCGAAATCTAAACCAAAACAGTGCAAATCTAGTCAAAATCAAAACCAGAACCAAGGCGCCGATAAAGGCATGCCATGGGTGATCAGGCCAGGCTTCCACTCAGATGGAGTGGGCAAGTTCCAAGACCGGTCTTACCTGTTGCAGATGTCTGGACTCCAAGCGCCAATTCCTTTCTGGTGTTCAGCTGCTGTGTTAATCCTCCGTGGGGGCCTACCATGAGCTGCTGTGGCGAGGTGTTCCACCAGGGCAATTGTCCACCCAGGAGTGCTCTCAGGATTTGCGTCACTAAAGCCGGCTGGAGTCCCCTGCAGGGATGCTCCACAGCGCAGGCCTAAGCCACCTAAAGGGCTGCCTCGACCTCCTGCTAATCACCTCACTTGCCCATCAGGGAACCGAGAAATGTAGCAGGACAAGCCGCAGACAAAACCCCTCAGACACCGAGTTGAGGAAAGAAGGGGCTTTATTTGGCCAGGAGCATCAGCAGACTTACAAAACTGAGCTCCCCGAGTGAGCAATTCCTGTCCCTTTTAAGGGCTTACAACTCTAAGGGGGTCCACGTGAGAGGATCGAGACCAATTGAGCAAGTAGCGGGTACGTGACTGGGGGTTGCATGCAGCAATAATCAGAACGGAACAGAAGAGGACAGGGATGTTCACAGTGCTTTCCCATACAGTGTCTGGAATCTATAGAAAACAAAAACAGTGAGGTCAGGGGTCGATCTTTAACTACCAGGCCCAGGGCGCACGCCAGGCTGTCTGCCTGTGGATTTCATTTCTGCCTTTTAGTTTTTGCTGCTTCTTTCTTTGGAGGCAGAAATTGGGCATAAGACAATATGAGAGGTGGTCTCCTCCCTTATGAACAAGACAGGTGTGAGCTGTGTGGGTTCAATTATACTCAGATTTTCTCCTGCCTGTGCCACCCCTGAAACAGTAAGAGCAACCCCTCCTCTTCCTTCTCCTCAGCCTACTCAACGTGAAGCCGATGAAGACAAAGACCTTTATTGTGACCTTTATTCCACTTACTAACAGTATATTTATTTTCCCTCTAATGATTTTCTTCATAACATTTTCTTTTCTCTAGGTTAATTTATTATAAGAATACAGTCTATATTACATATATCGTACAACAGATCTGTTAATTATCTGTGTTGTTGGGAAGGCTTCTGGTCAACAGTAGGCTATTAGTAGGTAAGAT